GATTAATGGTACATTCAAACACGTTGTCAGGCAATGTCAACAATCTTAGATTTGTAGAAGTCTTATTTGAGAACTATTTTGTTGTTTTCCAGTTATATACACTATATCTGCCTGTTTTCCATTTACTATTTGTTACCATGAGCATTTTGGTACTTTGGAAGGCTGATCCACTTTGGTTCATGCAAATAGGAATCTTGGATTCCCTCATTGATTAATGAGTTTTGAAAAGTCAGTGTGGTGTTTCACTACCACTAATAAAACTAGAACTGTCGTTCTATGGCTGCAGTCAGAAACCTCTTTCTAGTGAACTGATAGATGAACACAGAGAACCCAACAGTGATGTACAAAGAGCCAGGCCAATTCACCAAATGTCTGTTACACTTCACAGATCTTTATGAGACTGGGAGCTAACATGGGCTGCTCTCCTTTCAGCTTCCAGGCCCAGCCAGAGTGAAAGGATTTGATTCCTATGGGTCACTCCAGGCCAAAAGTGCTGGTTTCCTCCACAGCGATGAGCAGCTTCTCATACAGAGTGGTGTATGAGGGGTATGGAGGAAGGTCAAGGCGGTTAAAGCAGGTGTGAGCCCTGAGAGAGAAAGTGAAATACACACAGTGACTGGTGTTGGTGACAGCTAGGAATGAGGTATTTTATTCATTCAGAAGAAAGTACATGATGCTTCACTGTTCTCAAAATCACACCCCTAAGATTTCAGAAAACAAACTGATCAAATAGCTCAGAGTGAAACCAAACGACCGCTTTGGGTTTTTCTCTTGCTGATGCTCTATTCTTCAGTTCCCAATGGGGACAATTAAAGTGATCAGAAGTCAGCAAGTCTCTCTGAATGAGAGGATTTTTTCATCCTGCAAGCAGCAGTGCTTCAGCTGAACCAAACACCAGTCCAGCTCAGACATAATACTGCTCAAAAAAATAAAGGGAACACTCAAATAACACATCCTAGATCTGAATGAATGAAATATTCTCATTGAATACTTTGTTCTGTACAAAGTTGAATGTGCTGACAACAAAATCACACAAAAATCATCAATGGAAATCAAATTTATTAACCAATGGAGGCTTGGATTTGGAGCCACACACAAAATTAAAGTGAAATGTTCCCCTTATTTTTTTGAGCAGTATATTTAGGTAAAGCTGCGGTGCCTAGCTTTTATAAAAGATATGTTCTTTAAACAAAATATTTTAAAGATTAATTAAAACCCAAACCAACTCTTTTTTTTTGCAGACAAACTAAGTTGGTTCCAATGGATGCTGTCTTCATAGTTCTGTGCAAATTTGGATGTTTTGGTGTAACTTTTTTTTTTAACGTTGACATACCTGGGTAGTGATGTGACTTTGCCCCACTTTTCAATGCAGAAACGTCGGAGGCCGTTAGATCCTCTTAGAGATGCAAAGCCTTCGTATGGCACACTGGACGTCCCTGTGACGAACTGCAGCAGGCGGAGACGCTGCTCATTGGTAAATTTCTCCACCGCTGCCCAGAACCATCGCATCACAATGTGGCCGTCATGGTAACCTGGTTGAAGGGACAGGACACTAATTGTTAATACAGGAACATGCTGTAACTCCTGGGGATTCAATTCTCCTTCTCAAACTATCAGAGTTATTCCACCTTAACTCTACTCTGCTATTGAAAACAATAAAGTATGATTTAAACTGATGGATGATAATACCACTTTCAAATAAAGGAAGGTATAGAGAAGGTAATTTTTTTTAACCAAAATTCAATGATTAATTCAAAATGATCCCTTGTTTTGAATATTTCATTAAAACATATTCTACAGTTCTGAGCAGCATCTCAATGCTGGTGAGTTAAGAAATACACCCAATAGTAGACACACCAGCAGAGAAGAAAGGAAATATATCTTTGGAAAGATATCTTTGGTAAAAGATATATTTTAATACTGTCCCTTTATCTGGGATTCCAGATTAAAGGGACAGTATTATATAGTTTCTATGCACATAGTACAATTTTACAGCACAAACAAGTAACTATATTAAAATTAGCCTCTGTCCCTTTAAGGAGCTCCTGGTCTTTCCAACATGTTGCCTTCAGCACGTCATCACAGCTTTATGAGAGCAAGCGTTTAGGCACCCAGAATGGTTGCTGTGGCAGATTCAAGGATTTCTTAAACATGCATGAAAAAAATCAAAGCAACACTTTAGGTAGGTTTAATAAGGGAACAACATAACTTGATGCAAAGCTCTCAAAACATAAAACCCCTGTTTCACTAAAACAACAAAAATAAAAATAAAAAATTCATCAGAATGTACAAAAAACATTAACATGTTTTAAAACCGATCATTTTTTGTGATGCTGCTCAGCACCGTCCCATCTTTGACCTCTGTGGTTCTGTTACAGTTGAACATTTTATTTTTCATACCACTCTGTTGTTCTTGTTTAATTTTATTGTTTTACTTTGTTTACTTTGTTATTTTGTAAATAAGTTCCAGTTTTATTGTTTGTTCATACTGATGGTCTTACATGCAATAACCGGTGAAAAAAAGAGGATGCTGCAAGACCCCAAATTCATTTACATATACATCCCCCAACATTGACAACAGGGTTCTTACTTTTTACCACAAAAAACAAAGCAAACCAATGAGTGTGTCTAGGCCTAAATGTCAAGTATGTGACTTGAGTTGCACATATCCTGTCTGGAGTCTGGAAGTGAAACTGAACAGATGACACAGACCTCCTCTGTACTCTGTGTTGCTCCTCCAGTCACTAAGATCGATCTCCACAGTCCCAGCAATGACCAGCTCCAGCTCCCGCGCATCAAATACCGACACCAGCCTGGAGTCCACCACCTGAGCAGGAGCACAGCGGAGATAGTCTGGGCTGGAAGCTGAGCAATTCAGGATCAATTTGTCACTTTCCTGATCAAAGTTTAGCTGTGAATAATAACCCTTTTGAAATTTTCTTTAGTTTTTTTTTAACAACTTTAATGTAATACAGTGAAATATATGCTCACTCTCACACAGATGACAAATAACTTCCCTAAAAGTTAGTTATTTTGAAATCCAAATCATGTGCACAGACCAACTTTGTTTTTCCAGAAGAAAACAAACGACTTGATCAATCTTTTATCAATATTTAAAAGCTTAAATGGAGTCCCTAACTCTTTCAGAATTTTAACTCAATTATATTTCTGTTACCATCTGTAGGCGTTTGAACTTGAAGTTTCACTTGTGAATCTTTTTTGATCATTTCAGTGTTGTTCAGTTACTTAGATCTCCTCATTTTAGTTTATTCCTTTGTGCTTAGGATTGTTTTTCTTATATTAGTTCCCTTTTGTCTTTGCTTGGTTTATTTATTTCTTCCATTAGCCTGCTAGTTGTTTCGCTTTTGCAGCTGTTATCTATCACCTCATTCGCCGTTGCCTGGCCTCTCCTTCAGCTGTTCTCATTTGTCTCTGATTAGATTCTCTGGTTCCTTTGTCACTCCCTCCACACTTAAAAACTGATTAAGCACCCAGTTTTTAAGTTCTACTGACCTGATTTTAATACATAGCGATTATGTGTAAACTTTAGAAATGAGACATTTATCTCCAACCCTAGTTCCCCACAGAACCTTAATGCTGTAGTCCTCAGCAAAAATTCATCAAGTTGAAACCAAATACTTAAATATACTGTATTAAAATATACAACACATTTAAATAGATCTTTTGTTAATTGAAGAGAAAAAACATCCCAACGTTGTCAGAAAGACCAGTCAGAGAGGAAAAAGCAAATCAAAATCAGGGCTCTCCTCGATATGCCTAAAATAATTTTTATCTCAGTGTCTATATATTTTTGGATTTGAAGACAGACAAAAAAAATGATTTTTTTCAATATTATGACATTTAGCAAATAGAAGTAGTATCGTGACATCCTGACAGTAGCAATTTAGTCTAGTTTAATGTCTACAGTTATGGATTGTGTGTTTTTACAGTGTGTCCCTTTGGTTTTGAGTTGTGGTATTTTGGTGAGGACTTATGCTCACTTCATAGAAGCCTCTGACAAGCGCCTCCGTCTGCTGCACCACCCCTCTCTCCACTCTCCACTTCGCCATTCGCTCGATGTAATCCTTCTTGTTCTTCTCCGTCACTTGGAGGTGGGAGCCACCTGACTTCAGCTCCCGCTCTGTCACCTAGCAACACAGCCACAATGTTTCCAAAGGCGAGTTTAGGAAACTGATTTAAACCAGATTTAATACCAAAGTGGAAACAATATTTACCCCTCCAGCAGATCCATCTCTTTTTAGGCACTTTTGCATTGGAGAGCTCATTCTAACACAGCGGTTCTTAATCTTTTTTGAGGTACCGAACCCACCAGTTTCATATTCACTTTCACTGAACCCTTCTGTAGTGATAAATAAAATATGACCCCCCACCCCCCTCCAAGACATAGGGGTGCCCCAACCAGAGTCTAGTTGGGTCACCCCATGATCGCTAAGTCTTCTTAAAAGGTAGAGTCTCTGAGAACAGTTCTTCAAAATATAGTCAGT